GTAAGACCTGGGTGAAGGGAACCTTAGTTATACAAATAGATATTGTGCAGCTGCCGTTGTTTTAAGGAATATGTAAACCCAACATTTCCTATTCCTGATATGTGCTTGCTATACCATGTACTTGTGTGAAAAAGTATCATGTTCTCTTTGTATTACTACTTTTGTGTAAAATATCTAGTGTCCAATTAAAAACTGACCACACTGGGCAGATGAGCACAGCATGGTCAGTTCTCTAGCTGTGCTGGAAGCTAACCTAGTGATCAGACTTGTGCTGACATGCCCTACACCCCCCCCCCCCCCCCCTGCACAGCCATTTAGGCTCTGTTCACACCTATGCAATTAGCTTTTTGTCCGTTTTGCAGTGCCTTCCTCAGTTCATTTTGCGTTTTTCTGTACACATTTGTGATGCGTTTTTGATGTGTTTACCGCCTTTTGTTCAGCTCTTTTTTTTTCTTAACCTCTTCCCTACCATGCTGTAACTGAAAGACAACTACAGCGCAGTTGTCTAGTTCTGGGAGGACTTCAATGGACATCCTCCCAGAACACGCCCCCTGCGTGCCCCCAGCGGCGCGCGCACCCGGCGCCACCAGTGATCGCTGTGTCCTATGGACACAGCTGATCACGTGATACAGTAAATGGCCAATCACAGCGGCCTTTTACCATGTGATCAGCTGTGTCCAATGACACAGCAGATCACCGGGTAAATACAGTGCGGGTTATCGGCTGCACTTTCCTCACACTATCACAGCGTGAGGAAAGTACTGCTGATAACCAGCAATTGTCAGAGAAGTAATCAGCACTGATCATCAGGGCACTGATGATCAGTGCCATGATGATCAGTGCCCAGCAGTGCCACCCACCTGTGCCCCTCACCTGTGCCCATCAGTGCCGCACAACTGTACCCATCAGTGCCACCCACCTGTGCCCATCAGTGCCACCCACCTGTGCCTAGCAGTGCCACCCATCAGTGCTGCCCAGCAGTGCTGCCCATCAGTGCTCAGCAGTGCCGTCAGTCAGTGCCACCCATCAGTGCTGCCCATCAGTGCAGCCTATAAGTGCCTATCAGTGCAGCATCATCAGTGCCAGCTCATCAGTCCCGCCTATCAATGCCGCCTATCAGTACCTCCTATCAGTGCCCATCAGTGCTGCCTATCCGTGCCACCACATCAGTGCCCATCAGTGCTGCCTATCAGTGCAGCCTCATCAATGTACATCAGTGAAGGAGAAAAATTACCTGTTTGCAAACTTTTATAATAGAAACAAAGAAAACCTTTTTTTTTTAATTATTTTTTTGCTCTTTTTTTGATTATAGTGCAAAAAATAAAACACACAGTGGAAATTAAATACCACCAAAAGAAATCTCTATTTGTGTGAAAAAAATTATAAAAATTTCCTATGGGTACAGTGTTGCATGACTGCGCAATTGTCATTCAAAGTGCGACAGCACTGAAAGCTGAAAATTGGCATTGGGAAGGTAGGGGGTAAAAGTGACTGGTAGGCAAGTGGTTAAAATGGAATTTTTTTTTTGCTGGGCGGCAGAAAAAAAAAAATGCAAAACGCAAAATGCAGCAAAAACACAGTGCACTACCATGCATTTTAGCAGCTTCAACATTGAACTCTATTGTAGCAAAAACGCTGCTTTTTGCTTTAGAAAAGTCCCTGACCCTTTCCAAAAACGCAGCAGCTCAAAAAAGCATAGAGAACGTGTTCCATAGGAAACCATGTTAAACGGACTGTAGTGCGTTTCTGCAAAAAGCACTAAAAAACGCATTGGTGTGAACGGAGCCTAACTGGGAAGATCAGTGTGCTGTTTCTTCTCCCCCTGCTCCTTATACAGTTGAGAACAGATGTGATCACTTATAGTATAAAAAGTTGAAAAAAAAGGTATTTATAATATTTTTTTATCTATACACAAATGCTTTACCTTTTATTTCTATTTTAACCAGAATGTGTTGTTTTCCAAGGTAAGGGTTTACATATATGTGTAAAGCGTATCTAAATGCTAGAACAAGTAATGATAGTGTTGCAGCTTTCTAGTCCTTATATATGGTGGCTGTATTGGTTTTCTTTTTCCATGCTTTTCTTTGATTTGATTGAAATAAATCACAACTGAATTACCTTAGAGAGGTCTAGGGTATTAAAATGTTACATAAATCAACTACAAGTGGTATTGTAAATGTTGCTGCATAAATATAGCACAGACACTTTACATGCTGGGATCTGAAAATCATCCAGTGTAAGGCCCGACTGGCAACTGACCAAAAACTGAAATATCGGTTGTAGAGCATCTGTCTTTAACTTCATGTCCACCAGCATAAGCAGCCTTTCAACATCCGTTCAGGGTTGAATGTAATCACTATTATTGGTGACACAAACACTATGGGGTAGATTTATTTAAAAAAAAGTACTTAATAATTTGCCCAGTGAAATTGCATGTATATTTGTTCTGTGCAAACGGGGCAAACAATTGTATGTTATTAGGCTATTTTTTATCCTTGCTGAAAGCTTTTTCATTAAAGTGGAGCTGCACACCACAAACCTAAAATGCTATTTAATTCAAAGCAAACTCACTCATCCATTTATGTCTCTATGCTTTATTTCGCTGAGAAATCATTTTGAAAAACACCCTATAGAATTTCTGGCAGTGGCCATATTGAGTAAGGGCAGATTATTCATGTAGCATTTACTTCCTGGAATCCATCTGCCCTTTGCTCAGTCAGAGTTGAGAACCCTCCCCTCCTGAAGACTGCTAGGGTGTATGACATCATTTGCCTAGGCATGGAAATCAGGAAGTAACTGAAGAAATGTAAAACAAAGTTTAAACCAGGTAAATATGATATACTTTCCTGTCTATTTACTAATGCTAGCAGCATAGGATTAAAAATAGTCAATGTTGATTGAGAGAGTGAAGTTCCATTTTAATTTAAAATGGAAAATACCTTATTTGGCTACCAGGTGGCACAAAATCATAGGAGTTGCCTATTATTATTATTATTCTTATACAGGATTTATATAGCGCCAACAGTTTGCTCAGCGCTTTACAATATAAACGGGAGACAATACAGCAACAATACAGTTCAATAGAAGAGGGTTAGGAGGGCTGGTGGGACAAAAGGTAACAACTGTGGGGGATGAACTGATAGGAGGAATAGAAGATTCCATTATTAGTTGAAGGCGGGATAGACTTCCCTGAAGAGATAGGTTTTCAGAGATCGCCTAAAAGTGGACAGAGTAGGCGATAGTCTGATAGATTGAGGTAGAGCGTTCCAGAGGATGGGGGAGGCTCTGAAAAAGTCCTGGAGATGAGCATGAGAGAAGGAGAAAAGGGAGCTAGAGAGCAGGAGGTCGTGGGAGGAGCGGAGAGGACTTTGGGTGATATTTGGAGACAAGATTGGTGATGTAATTTGGGGCGAGTTATAAGTGGTTTTATATGTGATTGTTAACGTTTTGAATTTTATTTGTTGGGCAGTGGGAAGCCAGTGGAGGGATTGGCAGAGAGGGATGGCAGATATGGAACGGTTAGTAAGATGAATGAGTCTGGCAGCAGCATTCATGATAGACTGAAGAGGGGATAGCCTACAATGAGGTAGGCCAATGATGAGGGAGTTACAATAGTCAAGGCGAGAGATAACAAGGGAGTGAATAAGTTGCTTAGTAGTTTCAGAGATTAAGAACGGGCGTATCTTGGAGATGTTGCGGAGGTGAAGGCTACAAGATTTGGACAGTGATTGGATTTGAGGGTGAAAGGACAGATGGGAGTTTAGGATTACACCTAGTACCCTGGCATGAGGGGAGGGACTGATGGTTGTATTGCTGATCTTGATGGAGAAGTCAGGGGAGGGGGCACGGGCTGGAGGGAATAGTAAGAGCTCAGTTTTAGAAAGACTGAGTTTGAGGAAGTGGAGTGACATCCATGCCGATATGTCACTTAGTGCCCAGGGGCGGACTGACCATTTGGAAACCCGGGCACTGCCCGAGGGCCCGGGGTCAGTAGGGGGCCCCATTAGATGCCCCTAGTAACTTTTTCATAGGCTTTTTTGAGTTTGGGCAAGGACACAGGGGCCCCATGATCCCCTATTGCCCGGGGGCCCAATGAGTTGTCAGTCCGCCCCTGTTAGTGCCTATCATACTATGAAAGGTATACCTTATCAGGGCATACTCTGCTGCTGCTGGTAGGCAAGAAGGGGTTAAAGACAAATGCTCTGCAATTGATATTTCCGCTTTGGGTTGTTGCCAGTTGGGCTTTGCACTAGATGCTTTTCATATCCCAACATGTAAAATGCCTGTGCTATGTTTAGGAAGCAGCATTTACAATGCCGTTTGTAGTTGATTTATGTAATATTTTAATACCCATAGTGTTAAATGTTGCTTTTTTTATAATGCTCTACAGTATCTTACCCTGTGAATCAGCCTTATAAATGTATTAATGATCTAGTAAACAGAGACAATCCACATGCTCTGTCTGCACAAGCTGCTGTGCTTGAATCTAAGCAGTACAAATATTGTAATCATTTGGCATTTTCATTAGCATCTGTAAGGCACATCATTTCCCAGCTCGATAGGCAGATTCTTCCTACATCTGTGATTCCTTGACTGATATACACTGAAAACTAAATAGGTCTCTGTGAGATCCTTACTGGAAGCTTTGAAGGTGATAAGAGACTCGGCATCAAAGAACTATTGCTGTCTTTCAAACAAATGTGGATGTTTATCAAATGTTATTGGAGAGGAAACAGCAATTTCCTCTGAGTAGTGTAAAAATATCACGCAGTCATGAGTTGTATATAAAGGTATGCAAATTAGAACATTCACGCTATAATCCTATCAGAATTCTGTTACTTGTTTGCATATTGGTAAATGTGCTCTGCATTTAAAAGAGAATGTATAATATTTGATTGATTTTATTTACCGTATTTTTCGCTCCATAAGATGCACATGACCATAAGACGCACATAGATTTTAGAGGAGGAAAACAGGAAAAAAAATATTCTGAACCAATGGACTGCAGACATAGTACAGGAGATGACCAGAGACTGCGGACATAGTACAGGAGATGACCAGAGACTGCGGACATAGTACAGGAGATGACCAGAGACTGCGGACACAGTACAGGAGATGACCAGAGACTGCGGACACAGTACAGGTGATGACCAGAGACTGCGGGCACAGTACAGGAGATGACCAGAGACTGCAGACACAATACAGGTGATGACCAGAGGCTGTGGACACAGTACAGGAGATGACCAGAGACTGTGGACACAGTACAGGAAATGACCAGAGACTGCAGACACAGTACAGGAGATGACCGGAGACTGCGGACACAGTACAGGAGGTGACCAGAGACTGCGGACATTGTACGGACGACCAGAGACTGCGGACATAGTACAGAAGATAACCAGAGACTGCGGACAAAGTACAGGAGATGACCAGAGACTGTGGACACAGTACAGGAGATGACCAGAGACTGCGGACATAGTACAGGAGATGACTAGAGACTGTGGACATAGTACAGGAGATGACCAGAGACTGCGGACACAGTACAAAAGATGACCAGAGACTGCGGACACAGTACAGGAGATGACCAGAGACTGCGGACACAGTACAGGAGATGACCAGAGACTGCGGACATAGTACAGGAGATGACCAGAAACTTTGGGGAGCGGGTACCCAAATTTGACAAGTACCCGCTCCCACTTCCGTGGAGTTGTCCTTCCCCCTCCTTCCCCATAATCTTCTGGGACATGTGACAGGTCCCAGAAGATTACAGGGCGAGTCACAAAGCACAACACTTCTCGCACATGCGCAGTGGGCACTCGGCTGTGAAGCCGCAAGCTGTCACAGCCGGGTGCCCATGCCGGCGCCAGGGAGAGAAGACTGAGGACACCACTGGACCGAGGAACATGTAGGACCACTAGAGGTCTGCAGAGAATTGCCAAGTAGCCGGCCCGGTATTCTAACACAGGGGGAATACCAATCCAGACGCTCCATATTCGCTCCATAAGACGCACAGACATTTTCCCCCCTTTTTTGAGGGGGAAAGTGTGCGTCTTATGGAAGCGAAAAATACGGTAATTATTTATTATGCATTAGACCAGTGATCTCCTGGGGCCAGATTTGGGCTTTTACTTGCCTTTATATGGCCCTTGAGGCATTATTCCTGCTACTGACAACAAGAATGGGACGTAGTTCCTTCCAGTGACACCAACAATAGGACACTATTCCTTCCAGCGACACCAGCGATGGGGCAATATTTCCCCCACTGACATCAGCGATAGGATCAGGGGAGGACTGACAACTCATGGGGCCCCTGTGTCCTTGCCCAAACTCAAAAAAGCCTATGAAAAAGGCACCAGGGGCATCTCATGGGGCCCCCTACTGACCCCGGGCCCTCGGGCAGTGCCTGAGTTTCCAAATGGTCAGTCTGCCCCTGGATAGGATATTATTCCCACCACTGTCACCAGTGATGGGGCACTGTTTATTCCCATTGGACACATTCCAGCCCCCCTAAAGTCTGAAGGACAGTAAATTGGCCTTTTGTGAAAGTTTGGAGACCCCTGCTTTAAACTATTCATTTTTTTAATCAGTGAAACATGAAATATTGCATAGGAAGTACTGCATTCACACAGGGAGCCCGGTTCATCCCAGCCCCCTCTCTCTTCCCATTGGCTCACTGGCTGTGATTGACAGCAGCGGAAGCCAATGGCTCCTGCTACTGTCTCAGTCAATGAGGAGAGGGAGTCCCGGGATAGCTGAGAATCTAGTGCACATCAGTGGATCAAGAGGAGGCTTAACCCCTGGTTCACATATATGCATCAGTGCGGGCTGCGTTTTGCGTGGATACAAGACCCCATTCATTTGAATGGACTCCCGTGCCCCATGACATACAGGGAAGAAGTCCCTGCACTTCTTCTGAAAACGCAGCCCGCACGGGAACCTCGGTTTCCAGTATGGTTGTGTTTTCCAGTGTAGGTGGTGTGCCATTAGAATTAATGGTACCCGCCCGCGGGTCCGCATTCCTCTGTACGGGTGGTGCGGCTGCATGGATTTTCGTGCAGATCCGCAGCCGCACCACCCGCACATATGTGAACCTAGCCTAGGCTGGGCGGGCTGCTGCACAGAGAAGGTTTTTACCTTTATGCATAGAATGCATGAAGGTAAAGATCTCTAAGCCTTTGCAAACATTTTAAAGCTACATGTAACTCCCCTGGACATAGCAGCAGAAAAACTGTAAATGAGGTAAAAACACGTGTAAACACGATACCACGTTTAGCGTTTGGACATTTATTCATTTCATTGGCTAGAGTACTTGCCATTGATATGAATAAATGTCCAAGTGCTAAATGTGGCTAGTACATAGGAGTTTTTACACATACAGTTGCAAGAAAAAGTATGTGAACCCCTTGGGATTATGTGGAGTTTTGCATGAATTGGGCATAAAATGTGCTCTGAACGTCATCTAAGTCACAACAATAGAAGAACACAGTCTGCTGAACATAATACTACACAAACATTAGATGTTGCCATGGTTTAATTGCACATAACATGTAAACATTCACAGTGCAGGGAGGAAAAAGTATGTGAACCTTTGGACTTAATAACTGGTTGACCCTGCTTTGGCAGCAATAACCTCAACCAAACGTTTCCTGTAGTTGCAGATCAGACCTGCACAACGATCTGGAGTAATTTTGGACCACTCCTTTTCACAAAACTGTTTCAGTGTAGCAATATTCTTGGGATGTCTGGTGTGAATCATTCTCTTAAGGTCATGCCACAGCATTTCAATCGGGTTGAGGTCAGGACTCTGACTGGGCCACTCCAGAAGGCGTATTCTGTGCTGGTGCAGCCATTGTTTTGTTGAATGACTTGTATGCTTTGGGTCATTGTCCTGTTGCATCACCCATCCTCTGCGGAGCTTCAGTTGGTGGACAGATGGTCGTACGTTTTCCTGCAAAATGTCTTGATAAACTCTGGAATTCATTTTCCCATCAATGACAACAATCCGTCCAGGCCCTGAGGCAGCAAAGCAGCCCCAAACCATGATGCTCCCTCCACCATGTTTTACAGTGGGGATGAGGTTTTGATGTTGGTGTGCTGTGCCTTTTTTTCTCCACACATAGTGTTGTGTGTTCTTCCCAAACAACTCAATCTTGGTTTCATCTGTCCACAGTATATTTTGCCAGTAGTGCTGTGGAACATCCAGGTGCTCTTTTGCAAACTTCAAACGTGCTGCGATATTCTTTTTGGACAGCAATGGCTTCCTCCGTGGTGTCCTCCCATGTACTCCATTCTTGTTTAATGTTTTCCTTATTGTAGATGTGTCAACAAAAATGTTAGCATGTGCCAGATATTTCTGTAGGTCTTTAGCTGACACTCTGGGATTCTTCTTTACCTTATGCAGCATTCTGCGCTGTGCTGTTGCAGTCATTTTTACAGGACGACCACGCCTAGGGAGAGAAGCAACAGTGCTAAACTTTCTCCATTTGTAGACAGTCTGTCTTACCATGGACACATGAACATCAAGGCTTTTGGAGATACTTTTGTAACCCTTTCCAGCTTCATGCAAGTCAACAATTCTTGATCTTAGGTCTTCTGAGAGCTTTTTTCTGTGAGGCATGGTTCACATCAGATAGTGCTTCTTGAAACCAGTAAACCCAAAACAGGTGTGTGTTTTTTAAGGGCAGGACAGCTGTCAGCAACACATCCAATATCATCACACTGATTGGAGTCAAGGTTGGCTCACTCCTGGCTCCAATTAGCTCTGGGAGAAGTCATTAAGCTAGGGCCTCACATACTTTTTCCTCCCTGCACTGTGAATGTTTACATGTTATGTGCAATTAAACCATGGCAACATCTAATGTTTGTGTAGTATTATGTTCAGCAGACTGTGTTCTTCTATTGTTTTGACTTAGATGACGTTCAGAGCACATTTTATGCCCAATTCATGCAAAACTCCACATAATCCCAAGGGGTTCACATACTTTTTCTTGCAACTGTATGTACAAGCGTTTTTGAAGTGTTTGGCGTTTTTTTTGGCCAAAACATTCTTCTCCTGAACATGATTCTTCTGCGTTCAGGAGAGTGACATTTAACTGCCCCTAAACTGCTGCTTCCAAACTCTGATAAAAGCCTATGTGTACATGGACACATACAGTAGGCTATTATTAAGTTGAGTTCAGGGGCTTTGGTTAAAAAAATTTCAAAAGCTCCAAACCCCACGTTTAGGATCAGCATGTGCATGAGGTCTAAGAGAAATGTGTTGATCTAGGGCAGTGGTTCTCAACCTTCCTAATGCCGTGACCCTTTAATACAGTCCCTCATGTTGTGGTGACCCCCAACCATAAAATTATTTACCCAGCAATTATAATTCATGAGTGTCGTTTTACCTCCAATACTGCTGCTTTCAACACAGTAGCTGCTTTTAACAGAGTAGCTGCTTTCAACACAGCAGCTGCTTTCTACACAGTAGCTGCTCTTTACACATCGGAAATATGTGTTTTCTGATGGTCTTAGGGGACCCCTGTGAAAGGGTCGTTTGACCCCCAAAGGGGTCGCGACCCACAGGTTGAGAACCACTGATCTAGGGTAACTCCAAAGTCTTTGGAGTTCACAAATGTTACTATGCATGTGTTGGCTTTTTTTTTTCAGGAAACTACATGTGTATAGAATAGCTCTTCAAAAACTTTCCCAAACACAAAAGTGAATGGTTCCATTGCAGAGCACAGTGGTCATTCAATCCTGCTATGTGCATAAGTAGAGTCCCTGCAGCAGTTACCCCACGGACTATGTCAGATGTTTACAGTTTCTGGATAAACTCTGGAAAGTTAAACCCCTCTGCTCTTGTATCATCTACCTAATCGCATTTCCACTGTTTTTACATCCTCTACTTCTGTGATTACTACTTTACACATTTTCACTCAACATGAGTAAAGAGTGAGTTAATTCATAGTTCTTTGTAATAATTCAATTACATTGACAAGTTCTGAGACGTGTGCTGCTGTGCGGTGTTGAACAGGTGGCTAGATGCTCATTTTATGGAGCCTTTCATGCATACACAATAGACACTCAGAGCAGTGGGACAGCCAAAATAACTGACAAAGAGCCCTACAGGACTGGAGATGTGAGATTAAGCTGGCGCTGATCCAGGCAAGCATGAATTCTGCCAGGATTTTGTAACTGTTTAGGATTTGAGCAGCTAGACAGAAAAAGAAGGGAGAAAAATCCTTTAGTGATCCTAGGGGATATGCAGTAACTGACATTTGAAATCCCAAAATTAAAGGTGTACATAGAAGAGGTGGCAGGTGAAAGGTGTCACCACTGAATGATCATAGGAGCATGCATGTTTATGTACTGTGCTGTCACTTCTGACACTAGGCTGATGTTTCAAGAATGATAGGATAGAAAATGCACCTTAACCACTTGAGTACCAGCCTGTATCGTTCCTTAATTACCAACAGTTTTCAGTTTCCAGC